GTGGGGTTGGATCAAGGGTTGGACTTGATGATCTCAGAGGTCTCTTCCAACCCAGTTAATTCTATGATTCTATCATTCATAGTTCATGTTGACCACAAATGTGACTCAGCAACTAGAAACACTAGCATTGAATTAGGTCAATGTCTGCCACTCAACTGAAATTCATTTCTGAAATCTCAGACCCTGAATTCAGCACCATGTCAAACCCTGAACACAAGCATATGTCTAGCAGGTCTTTAGATATATTCATATTTGTGGTGGTTTAGCCTTGGCCAACAGTGAAATTCCCACTGAGCCACTCTCGTTCCCCCTTCCCCAGTGGGTCAGGTGGAGAAAATAGGAAGAACAGGAACAAGAAAGATTCTGGGTCAAGATAATCACTGTTGTGGCAAAACAGACTTAACAGGTAAAATTAAGTTAATTTATCATCAATTAAAATAAAAATGTATTTACTACTTCACATAGCAGGAAACAAAAGGACAATTATTAAAATACTCTCCCTCCTTTCCCAGGCTCCTCCCAGCCTTGTTATTGACACAGGTTACCTGCAGCCCCTTCAGTGAGGAAATGAGCAGCTCAAGGAGGCAGGTGGAAGGGTGTTATGATCAGTACATAACAAAATCTCTTTGCCACTCCTTCCTTCTCACACTTGTCTCCTCCAGAATGGGCTGCAGTTCCTTCACAAAATGTCCAACTGCTCCAGTGTGGTCTGTTGCATAAGCTGCTATGTGAATATTGATTCTGTCACCATGGAGCACATCCTCCCCCACCTTCTTCTCTGACCTCTGTTCGTACTGCAGTTTCTCACTCTTTTTTTCTCCCCTACTCCTCTGCATATCTGGTGGGTTTTGCCGTCTTAAGTATGTTTTCACAGAGGCAACACCAGCTTTGTTGATTGGCTCAACTTTGGCCTGCATTGGGTCCATTAGGAAGCCAGCTGGAAAGAGCTGTGTCCAACACAGGGCAACCCCTTACTCACTACCAAAACCTTGCTACATATACCCAATACACCGTGACAGAAGTAGGAAAGTTGCATGACCTTTCAAATTAAGAAAGAATGACGAAAAGTGGTCTGTAGCATAAATTCAGCCTACACTTTGTCAAGAAGTCAAGAAGTGTCTATCCAATTAAATGTGATTGATGGAGAGGGGGTAAAATTGATACATCTGAACAGAAAAAACAAACAGTTGTCAGCTGATTCTACAGGACAAAAGATAAATAACATTCCCCAACTTTAGTTATCAGAAGGGAGAAGGAAATATTTGTGATTCTTAGATTCTCTTTGCTCTGAATGTCTTCTTATAAGAGAATTATTGCACAGATGTTAAAATATTTTTTTTAGTTTTTAAATCAAATTAGAAACATATATAAATTGTTATATATGTTTATATATATATAAAACTGGAAATAATAAAGTTTACTCCTAATGACTCAAACTATAGTATTAAGCCCTTTCTCTCATATTAAAACATGCTAGACTTCTTAATACTGTAAGGGAAAATTTATACATATATACCAATTGTCATGGTTTTGCTTGTTCTTGGAAACTAAGCAGGAATTTTCTCTTCCCCCTGCCCACTATGTGAAGGGGATGTTGAATGGGCAGATTGACTGTGGCTTAGGCAATTGACTAACACAAAAGAAGTGGCTGATAAAACCACATTCCAAGTTGATGGTCCTCAAGATCTTGTCTGTGGGGAGGGGTGAGGAGTTCTTTTTTCCTTTTTTTTCTACCTCCTCTCCCAGGAAACAGTAGGTACTCCGTTGTTGCCTGAGCTGGGACGGGGTCCAGGTAGCAGGAGTTCCGAGGTGACTTTGTTCTCGACCTGGCTGCCAACTGAGAATTTGCTTGGATTTTCATCAGAGAGAAACTGATCGGGAGGTGTCCCTTCTTAATTTTCTTTTTTTTTTGGCAGCAGTTCTTGTGCACATCAAAGGAGAGAGGAAGCCACACCACACAACTCAACCAGCAGGACAGAGTGAGTTCCCATTGGGAAGGACCTTTTTTTTTTTTTTTTCTTTCCCTCTTGTCTCCCTTTTCCCAGTAAGGGGGAGGGAAAACCTCCATTTTCGGCTTCTCCAGCACACCCAGGGGGCCCCCCACGTGGTGACCACCAGTAATCCAACAGCACCCCCTGTTGACTGTGATTAGAATTGCACCAAAGATGCAAACTGAACTGTTTACTTGTTTGTTTGTTTGTTTGTTTTGAAGGGGATTATTTTGGGGTATAGGATTGTTGTTTTATTTGTGTTCTTTAATTGTTCTGCCAATACACATATATCTTTTAATAAAGGGTTGTTATTTTTCCTTTTTCCACATTTTTTCTCAGTTGGAGCCCCTTAATTTACAATTGCTTAGAGGGAGGAGTTTGGGTTTTCCTCATAACTCATCCTCAGCAAAACACTTGTGTCTCATTAAACTGAGACACCGATATATACCAAACTTCTCAAATATATGCTAAGCATGCTTCGTAACCATGGAAGAAGTCAGTTTGGAAATACAGTGTTTAGAAAATGCAATGCAGTTTAATGTATGCTTTTTTTTGTTTTTCTTATATATATATATTCTTTATATACTCTTGGGATGGAATTAATAAAGCAGATCCACACTATTTTCATTAGTATCCAGTGAAAGGACAAAAGAAAATGGGTACAAATTTAAACTCAGGAAATTCTGCTTAAACATAAGAAAATACTTTTTTTACTTTAGGGGTGGTTGAACACTGAAAAGAGCTTGCCCAGGAAGTTTGTGAAGTCTCAATTTTTAGAGAAATTCAAAACCCAACTGTACATGGTCTTGGGCAATCTGCTCTAGCTGATACTGCTTTGAGCTGGGAGGGTTGGACTAGACAATAGCCAGAGGTGCGTTTGAACCAAATGACATTTTCTGTTTTTCAGTTTGTGCCCATTGCTCATTGTCCCGTCACTGTGTGTTGTGGGTTTCTGTGGCTGGGTTTTGGTAGCGGGGGGACTACAGGGGCGGCTTCTGTTAGAAGCTGCTAGAAGCTTCCCCTTTTCTCCTGGAACCAATGCTAGCCGGTTCCAGGACGAACTTCCTGCTGCTGGCCAAGGCTGAGCCAATTAGTAGGCATAGTAATGCCTCTGTGATAACATATTTAAGAACAGAGGAGCGTTGTGCAGAAGAAATTCCAGCCAAGGAAGAGTGGAGTGAGAACATGGGATAACAACATAGACATCAAGGTCAGTGCAGAAGGAGGGGGAGGAGGGACCCCACAGGAGCAGAGAAAGAACTCAGAGTTGAGGCCCCTGCAGCCCATGGTAAAGACCATGGTGAAGCAGGCTGTCTCCCTGCAACCCATGGAGCACCATTAGGGTGCAGAGACCCGACTGCACCCCAGGGAGGAGTGAACTATGGGACAACAGATTGGGAAGAACTGCTGCCCGAGGGGAAGACTCATGTTCGAAAGGTCCATCAAGGACCGTCTCCCATGGGAAGGACCCCACGGGAGCAGGGGAAAGACTCCTCTCCTGAGTAGTGGCAGAAACAACAACTGACTGTAACCCCCATTCCCCATCCCCCTGCACCACTGGAAGGAAGGAGGGGTGGGGGGAAGGTGTTTTTAAGACTGTTTTATTTCTCACTCTTTGGCTCTTATTCTGTTAGTAATAAATTTAAATACTATCCCCACATTGAGTCTGTTTTGCCTGTGAAGGTAATCAGCAAATGACCTCTCCCAGCTCTTATCTCTACTCTTGAATCATTAGCTGTTTTTTTTTCTCTCTCCTCTGTCTATTTGCAGAGGGAGAGTGAGAGAGCAACTTTAGTGGGTACCTGGAATCTGACCAGGGTCAACTCGCTACACTGGGCACTGTTGAGAAGTATCTGGCTTGTTCTTTTACTCCCTCCTATCAGGTATTTATACACATTGATAAGATCCCTGTGTTGTAGGAGTACTGATCTCTAGTTCAGCCACAACCATGACTGTGACTGGTATGGATCCCATTAACTTGGACCCCAACTGATGGATTTGCTTTCTTCCTTGACCTCGGACCTGTCTTGTGCCTAGGGATCTACCCAATCATCAGTGGGCTGTGTCTGACCCTGGTTGTCCTCACCAGACCTGAGTCTGATTTGTGGACTTACTTCCTGTCTTGATCTTCACCTCATTCTAGAAGACTATTGGGTTGTTCAAGCATGATTTCCCCTTTGTAAATACATGCTGACAACTCCCAATAAACTTCTTGTCCTTAATATGTGGGCTTTGGTTTTCCTAACACCATCCCTGCACACTCAGTCTATATATAGAGAGTGTCTATAGATAGACTCTATATTCCTCCTGGATTCCCTGACCTTGCTTCCACCTCTTGTATACTTTCTTTATATGTTTGAGCTTTGTCAGGAACTCCTTGTTCATTCATGGGGGCCTCCTTCCACCTTTGCTTGACTTCCTGCATGTTGGAACAGACCATTCTTTAGCTTCAAGAAGGTGATCCTTGAAAAGTAAACCAGCTCTTCTGGATCCCTTTGCCCCGTAGGACTGTCTCCCATAGAATTATTCCAAGCAGAGCCCAGAAGAGGCCCAAGTCTTCTCTCCTCAAGTCCAAGGTTTTGATACATCAGTTCTTGCCAGGAGGAGGAAATCAACACAAAACTGAACCTAATCACAAGTTCTTCTATATTTTTTTATATGTGCTGATTAAAGAAATGAAAATGAACAACAGAATTTGAAATTCAAAGCTCCTATTACTTTTTTTTTTCCCATCTTGTGAGAAAATAACCTAAGACTGCCAAGAAGTGCCTATTCAGAAAAATTGAGTGATATTTTACTTTTATTATCAATTTTTAAAATTTATGAGATTTTAGGTATGTCTACTGATATCAGACTTCAGTGATATCAACTGTTGAACTGAAAAACCTTTGTTTTTCCCAAGAGAAGTTAAACAAGTTTCATTAGAGGTTCAACTTTGTCACATAAATGAGGACAGGTAAGGTTTCAAGAACTAGAAATACTAAAACGTAGTTTTATATTACACCATACCTCTGTTTCTGCTGCATGGGTTGCTGTCTCATAGCCATATATTGCATGTCCTCTTGTAGCTGATTAAGGGGAGAATCTGGTTTGACACGAATCCCATAATAATGGTATTTGGAGTTCCCCCTTCATGAAAGAACAAAAATAACATTGGGGTTTTTTTGTATATACATCATACTTCACAATTTGCCTTGAATGGAAAACAGTACGTAAAAGTTAGGCGTGTCATTCCTCTTGCTCTAGTATAAAACTGATATAACTCCACCAACTTCTGGAAATCAGTTCACATAAACTATATTTTCCAGCACTTTACTATTGGACTTCATTTAAATAGAATAAGGTAAGAAAAAACAAATACACAACTTATGCAGTCATAGTGAATAAAACAATTCCAAAAATGGGCCATGTTTGTGAGTGAGGGTTTGTGAATGTTTCACTAATCAACTTCAGTCCTGGTCAGCTGGAAAGAAAGAACATAATTGGGCTATCTGCATTCATGTTTATGAGAGTGTCTATATGGGTGCTGGTAAAGGCATTACCCTGTGTTAGCTTCTGTGGTTAGCTGTGTTAGTGTCACGTGTGTGTTTGTCTGCACCTCTGGAACACATGTTCAGTTTCACAACTAGTTGGACCTGAAAATAAAAACAACAGTATCTGCATCCATTGGACTGCAATGGAAGATATCTGGGTCATAAGAGTACACAGAAACTGGCTATAGCAGACCAGGAGTCCCCCGGATCCCGAAGTCTACTGGATTTGGCAACTCCCTTAACAGTAAGGTTTTAAATATTTTTATTTGCTTATTTCCTTGCTTGTTTTTAACATATGAGCTTCATGTTCATGATTATAATGGATACTTTCTGTTATACTTTAAGATTTTATTATCGCAAACCTGGTTCCCAGTCTTCTGGTCCGTAATCCCATGAAGATTGACCGTATGAGTTTTCCAAAGGAGGCAGCATTGACTGGATCTAACTTGTGCTCCTGACAATGACGTAAGTAATGGTTGTAAAGGGTACTTCTGGGGAGACTCACTCCTTCTGCAGTTTCATAGTTGTCTAAAAGCCATTGGAGCTATGTCAAATATGAAAGAGTGAACATATGTAAATTTAGTATTACTCTACTAAAAATCCCCACTTAATTGTACAACATAGACCTCTGATATATTTTAGACCACTCTTAAGGCCTGTTTAATACAGGGACTTTGTTCTTCAAGTAAATATAATCTCTTTAAATCTCTTTCAATGCTAGATATGCAATGATACCTTAGTTTGGGTTTTTTTTAGGATTACAAGGAAATAACAAAACTCATAGCACTTGTGAGCTCAGATAACTCCACTTCTAAAACTATTTCAGATTCAGTACCATACATTAACATTTTATGAAGTTATTTGCACTTTGAGGAAAAATTGTTGGAACTCCAAGGAAATAAAAAAATCAATGCAATTTATATTAATTGCATGAAAAAAACTTAATAGAACTAAGTTAATACATTTTTAATTTCTCTTCATCTGGAATTAAAAAATACAAATAAAAACCCCCAGTACTTTATTTAACTGAATAGGGGTTTTTGTCTTCCAAATACAAGGAAGAAACTATCAAATATAAGGTAACAAGTAATCTAGATAACATGAAAAATAACTTGTACATCTATAAAGTATTATAGGCCCCATCCCTTTCTGTTGTAACCTGTTTGCCTTTGACTTCAAAGTGTAACAGAATTAGTATTCTTTTCTTTCCTGTGTAATTTATTGTAGAATTTTGGTGGGCAATTTTGGAATCATGTAGGCAGTTTCTAATACATCACTGTACCTTTGTATAGAACAAATAGTAACATACACACAAAACCACAGTAAAATGGTCATTTTAATGACATTTACCAGTATAAGCGAATAAAATGAAAATATTTTTATAATGGTCATTTATCAGCAGTCCTGACTATCCGGAGAGGTCCCAGTTGACTAGAAGTTAGCAAACCTATAAGAAGGGCCAGAAGGAGGATCCAGGGAACTACAGGTTTGTCAATCTGACCTCAGTGCCAGGGAAGGTTATGGAGCAGATCATCTTGAGCACCACCACATGGTATGCAGAGGACACCCAGGGAATCAAGCCCAGCCAGCATGGGTTTATGAAAGGCAGGTCCTGCTTCACTAACTTGGTCTCCTTCTATGACAAGTGGGTCATCACCCACTTAGTGGATGAGGGAAGACCTGTGAATGTTCTCTACCTGGACTTTAGTAAGGCCTTTGACAGTGTTTCCCAGTGCATTCTCCTGGAGAAACTGGTTACTCATGTCTTGGACAGGTGTATTCTTTACTGGGTAAAAACCTGGCTGGATGACTGGGATGAAAGAGTGGTGGTGAATGAAGTCACATCCAGTTGGTGGCCAGTCACAAGTGATGTTCCCCAGGGCTCAGTATTGGGACCAGTTCTGATTAATATCTTTATCAATGATCTGAATGAGGGGATCGAGTGCACCCTCACTAAGTTTGCAGATGACACCAAGTTGGGCGGGAGTGTTGATCTGCTTGAGGATAGGAAATCTCTACAGAGCTTGTATGAGGTTCAACAAGGCCAAGTGACAGGTCCTGCACTTGAGTCACAACAACCCAATACAATGCTACAGGCCTGGGGATGAGTGGCTGGAGAACTGTGGGTTAGAAAAGGATCTGGGGGTGCTGGTCGACAGCTGACTGAACATGAGCAAGCAATGTGCCCAGGTGGCCAAGAACGCCAATGGCACCCTGGCTTGTGTCAAAAAGTGTGGCCAGCAGGACTAGGGAAGTGATTGTCCCTCTGTACTCAGCACTAGTGAAGCCACACCTCAAATACTGTGTTCAGTTTTGGGCACCTCATTACAATAAAGACATTAAGGTGCTGGAACAAGTCCAAAGAAGAACAAGGAAGCTGGTGAAGGGTCTGGAGCACAAGTCTTATAAGAAGCAGCTGAAGGAGCCTAGAGAAAAGGATGCTCAGACAGGACCTTATCTCTCTCTACAATTACCTGAAAGGAGCTTGTAGTAAGGTGGGTATTAGTCTCTTCTCATAAGTAACAAGCAGTAGGACAAGAGTAAATTGAAATATAGAAACAGTTTCTTCACTGAAAGGGTGAGCAAGCATTGGTACAGGCTGCTCAGGGAAGTGGCTGAGTCACCAACTCTGGAGGTATTTTAAAGACTTGAGATGTGGCACTTAGGGATGTGGTTTAGTGGTGGACTTGGCAGTGTTAGGTTAATGTTTGGACTCAATGATCTTAGAGGTCTTTTCCAACCTAAATGATTCTATGATTCTACATTTAACTTATATGCTTTCAGATTTTTGGGGATGCTATCATTTTGCTTAGCTTACACCCTCCTTCCCCCATGGTTTAATACCCTGAGAAATTCCCTTTAATTTCCATTTCAATAATTCCCAAATTTTGTTTTCTTCTTGTATTTACTAATTACTTAAGAAAGTAATTATATCAAAATGAATTAGCATGAACATCCAAATTTTCCAGGTTCACAATTCATACAAAAAGTCTGGGCTTAGTTTGAGCATCCAATAAATCCCCAAACAATGGATTTGGTTTTGGCATTTGGAACAAAATTTTATTCCAGTATGCTGAAGCCTCACACAGTTGTATAATCCATTTAAATTTATTACACCAAAGAAATTAATATGATTAATATGTGTTTACAGTAAAATATATAATAATTATGTGACATTGAATATGCTACTCTGAAGAGTTATTTACTAATAGATCACTGAACAAATTCTGTTCTACTAATGTTCGATAAAACATGTCATTTAAAGAACATCAATATTTTAGTGCCCATTATTCTTGAAATATGTTTCCATTCTGACTCTTCCTTATTGCAGAACTTACAACTCAACATATTCTGTGATTCTGTGATTCTGTCAGTAAAAATTAGATTATAATGAATATATTGGACATACAGTTCTGTTTAAGTCAGTTGTGAACAATTTACCAGGCACAATACATGAAAAATGAAAAAAAAAATTAGGAAAACATTTACTCCAGACCTTTCAAAGACCATGTTCATGTTTGCTTCCTTGCAGAAAACATCACCAGAACTATCATGCTTAGGTTCCTAAACAAGAGCTCTATGTAAAGATGCAGGAGAAGCAAGATCTAGCTGGTTCCAAGATGGATGTAGATAATGTTGCACTTTATATAAACATAAAAAAGTGCAGTTCATCATCCTTATATCTACTTTTGGCTATAAATACATTATTTAAAAAATCTTAACATTCACAGTTTCTTTTATCTTGAATATTTAAAATTCTGAAACAAAACCTAGGAAAAATATTATTAGAAACTTTTACCTTTACATGAGTGTATGAACAAAATCATTTTGCTAATTTTACTATATCTTAATTATATCCTTCAACCTTACCATTTAAGCTATACTAATTAGATTATGGAATATGAACAATTTCTGTTTTACTTCACAAAGAAAAAAATGATTGCTAAAACTCCAAAATTATTTCCAAATTAACTTCTAAATATTGTATTAGACTTTTTTTCAGATTAATTCTAATTTATTAGGATTTCTTTCAGTACATTTTACTAATGATCTATATTTGACAGATATTCTTTCAACCTCAACTTGGCATTAGTCACCAATGGAAAAGCAAAACCCAAGATAAGTATAAAGTAAGGATTTTTGCTCCAGGATGAAGATATTTCAATTTAAAAAAGCTTCACATGATTATTTGGTAGGTTACAGCCTTCAAAGAAGAGTGTCAATAGCTGAATACTATGGAAAAAAAGTAAATAATGTGCTGACACGATAACATTATTGCAAACAACCTTAAATATGTTTTTGTATTTGCAAAAATCTAATTATAAAATTGATTTTTGACTTGTTGACTTACAATATTAGCAATATTGGAATGGTATGAAATGGCTTATACAGAGCAGGTAAATTGAATCCAACCAAACTTCAATATTTAGAAAACATTAGATTATAAATTAGTTAAGTCAATCACATGCAGAAAGAAATTAGGAAAGGAAATAAAAGAAAGGAAAATGAAAAAAAATCATTAAAATGAAGAGGAATTAATTTAGGCAACAAAATGCCAGTTTAAGGAAGAAGATAGGACCAAAACCATATTTACTGTCCTTATTTGAGTCATAATTCAATAAAAGTTTTTTAAAAAGGGAAAAGATCCAGTAAGTTTGATCTGGGTTCCATTAATTTTTTCCAAAATTACTGAGGCTAGGAAAGAACAATTATTACAGCAAGATGCATGGAGGTCTTTTTTTTTCGCAGAATCCACCATCTATTGTCTTTCAGTAGTTTTGAAAATACCTCAAAACAGTTAAGAAACATCAGGATAAGACTACCATAACAAACAGATGCAAATCTCATTATTAGAAAGAAATTTTCATAAAATTGTAGCATGGTTTGGGTTGGAAGGGACCTTTAAAGGTCATCTAGTCCAATGATCAGGGACATTTTCAACTGGATCAGGTTGTGTAGAGCCCCATTCAACCTGACCTTGAACACTTCCAAGGATGGGGCATACACAATGTCTCTGTGCAACCCAATTGTTCCAGTGTCTCACCACCCTTTTTGTAAAAAACTTTATTCCATATGTTCAATTTAAATCTACCCTCTTTCAGTTTTAAACCATTGCTCCTTCTGCTGTTACTACAGACCCTGGTAAAAAGTTTCTCTCCATCTTTCTCAGAAGCCCCCTTTAAGTATTGAAAGGCTGCAATAAGGTCTCCACAGAGCCTTCTCTTCTCCAAGGCTGAACAACCTTGCTTTCTCTGCCTGTCTTCATAGGAGAGATGTTCCAGCCCTTTGATCATTTTTGTTGTCCTACTCAGACCCACTCTATCCCACTATCTAAGCTGCTGATGAAGATATTAAATGGTAATGGTCCTAGTACAGACCCCAGAGTGACAGAACTCATTACTGATCTCAGTTTTGGACATTGAACTGTTTGCTGTAATGCTTTGAATGAGGCCATCCAGCCAGTTTCTTCTCCATCATAGAAGGCCACTAGATTAGTCAGGCATGATTTGCCCTTGCTGAAGCCACGTTGGCTGTGTCTAATAA